TGGGAGATTGCAGAATATCTATATAATGCCCCGCTCTCCTCTCCCATTTCCACTGCTTTCCTCTTTTTCTTCTTCATACTTACCTTGATGGGCGTCCTGGGGATCATGAAATCCGGTACGCAGAGAGGGATGCCTGCATTGCACATCGTGGAGCCCTCCTCTCTCGATAGTCCTTCGGGGCCATCGCTGTTGTAATTTTTGATTTTCAACCCTTTTCATTGTGTGCTCTGCCTGGTGCAGCGTCATGAAGAAGAGACTTCTGAATGGTTTTTTGGTGCTGTGAGAACGTTGAGGATCAGTTGCGTGCTACTAGTGCTAGTTATGTCTCCAATGTCAGAAGTCGCCGGATCACTTGAAGTGCGACACGAAGCTCCGTTACTTCATGATAGCTCCCAATTCTGTCAATGGTGGCGTAGAGGAAGCTGAGCTGTGCCAGACTCTCATTCAGGTAGTCGTCCATCATCCACAAGGTCTCGGTGATCGTCAGCTAAGCTAGCTCGAAAGAAGCTTACCACGTCAAGTACGCGTCCTAAGAGCAAGCACATCTTGACTTCAATGTTCCGGCATTTGTAGATATTTCTTCCAACGGGGGCTACTCGCAATCTCTCCAGGTCTGCGGTGAAATTTTACACCTAATGTCTGATGTTTCTCTGCAGCAGTGGAATCTCTGTTTCTGCGTGGATTTAATCAACCGCCATGGAACGTGAATATTTGTATCAGGTATCGCGATGCTTTCATAGATGAATTGGCCTCCCTTGCAAAATCAATCCTCACCAGTTCCCTCATCTATGTCTCCCTACACAGACCCCAGCTGGTCCCAGCTGTCCCCAGCTACCGCCAGACACCAACAGCTCAAAAAGCTCCCTTCCCAAGCACCTGGCCCGTCGTCGTACGAGAAAAGGTCCCCGGGACAAGCCGCACCAATCACAACCCTCCAAAAAACCAAGCAGCCCAGGTCCAAGGGGACCCATTCAATTCCCAGAGCTCCAAAAAATCTCATGACAAGTGCTTTTTTCGGCTTCTGCGTCGCCCCCGTCCCATTCCCCCGTGTTCCGAGCCAGAGAGAGAACGTAACGTCGCCGACCTCCCGTCCAAGGCCAATTAAATCGACGAGCCTCAGTTGCCTCCCGAACCCCCCGATCCCATCAGTTCGCCGAGGCAATCATCGAGACTACAACACCTGCTTCGACCAAGAAACACCACCACAATGGCATCCAGAGTAGGCCCCCGGAGCGCCTCGGACGCAACGCGCTTCACCTCGACCACCCCGCACGCCGCATCCAAGAGCTCTCCCACATCAGCAGAAGCAGCAGCAGCACCGACAGGGACATCGACAACAGCAACAGCATCCTCAACACCAGCGACAAAGTCACCACAGCCTCCCAAGATCCCCGGCCGGCAACCGGGCGAGAGCCCCGAAGACCGCGTCCGCCGCCTCCGCGCTGCTCACGAGGCGGCGCGCAAGGCCCAGACGTCCAGCCTCGACCGCGCCATCGGCGGCAGCCGTCGCTTCTTTGATGTCGCGCACAAGTTTACCGTCCTCGGGTTGGTCGGGTTTACGGGTACGTCTATAAAACCCCTCGTACGATTCTTGGAGCAGTGAGAATGGGCATTACCCACACGGTCAATTCGAGATTTGTCTCAAAGGAGATTTATGGAGGAAGAAGATGAAGCAAGAAGCGGAAAAAAAAAAAGAGGCTAACACCCCCAAAGCAATCGCAGGTCTCGTCTCCGTCTACTCCGTCTACGACATGGTAACCTACAACAAGCAACGCCGCACCGACTTCATCGAAGCCCAGCGCAAAATGGAAGACGACGCCCTCGCCACCGCCCGCCTCGCCTTCATCAAGGGCACCGCCACCGACACCCAAATCACCCTCGTCGAGGAGGCAAACGCCCTCGCCCGCGAGACGGGCGTCAAGCTCCCGCCCTTGCTCTCCGCGCCCACCCACACGACGGGCGCCGAAAAGATCTTTGGTACAGGCCAGCAAAGGACCGCCGAAGCTTCCTCGGCGACCGTCGCTCCCGCCTTCCCCACAACTTCTGAAGCCGCACCCGCCCCGAAACAAAAGAAGAGCAGCAGCTGGTGGCCCTTTGGCGGCAGCAGCAGCAGCAAATCCGACGCCGCAGAGACCAGCTGGAGCGAGGAAGACGAGTCCTCCGGCGTCCGCGCCACGGACCTCGCGCGCGCCGTCGAGGACAGGAAAGAGTTCCTCCAGGACAAGGCAAAGGCCGCCTTCGAGCGCGAGAGGGAGAACCAGCGCCGAGGCGGCCCGCTGGACCAGGTCGGTCTCCCGCAGGAGGAGAAGAAGGCCGAGAAGAAGGGGTGGTGGTAGAGCAAACGACTGCTTACCAAGTTCTCGACGGCCGTTGTTATAATATGATACACGATTGAGGTGGGCTGAGGGAAGACGGCGAGGTCTTTGTATCTGAAATGTGACGATAGCTGGTGCGCTACAACAAAAAACAAGTCGGCTTTGAAGGAAGTGTACGAGAAACGACAATCTCCACCCCTAGATAGAGAGTCGGAGAGACGGACACCTACGTCGGTACAAAAATTGGGGGCGAGTTGGGAGAGAAGGGATGGCAAGGCCGTCTTTTACCACGGCGAAGACGACGAAGAGGAGGGAGAGGGGGAGGAGGCTGCCAAGTGTCACTGTATCATACGTGTTAGACTGGATTGTGCATTAGACGGCGTCCGGCTTTACAAAGCTTTGCATGCGGGAAAGGGGGCAAAATAACATCACCTTCGTCTTTGCACAGCCAAGTTCCGTTCTACCGCGAAGCATCCCGTACCCGGAAACCCATGTTTACTCGGGTTCACTTGCTTGACACAGATACGATCATTTCCCGAGTATCACTCGTCATTCGATACACAGTCACATGCATAGAACGGAAGTCTGACAATGAACAGCGCTGGCGTATTTTCGCCGCTTAATTATGTCCTTTGGACCGGTATTATGTACAACCGCGAAAACGCTTCAAGAATGCAGGCTTCCGCCGAGTCTCAAACTGCCACGCCGGGCCAGTCGACTTCCCAATCCCAAATCATGCTTACCGGTAACCTATGAACCGTGAAAACAGAGCTTGCCCAACAAGCCCCGAGCGAGTGTAAAGTATGTGCGCTAAATGTGGTATTACCGCAAGCCGAGACTCCCATGTCTCTGAAAACCCCCGTCCCGAAATCATGATTTCCGTGCCTACTCGACCGGAACACACCATCCTGATTGAATCAATGCAATCGCTTGTCGATCTTGTAACTCTTCAAAGCACCTTTCGTCAAACTCTCTCCGTTTTTGTTCTTCTCTAGGGCGATGCCTGTTCCGTTTGGGAAACATCTGCAACGCCAAATCATCGGGCAAAACGATTTCTTGCCCGTTCTATGAGACAACAATGTGATTAAAGTGGCCCGGCACCTTGAGGCGGCACTTTTCGCAATCAGCACGGTAACCGATGCTGAAGCTCTTCTTCATGCCAGGCTGCCAAGTCCACGAGTTGACAGTGTGCCTAGATCGAATGTGTCCCTTGCGTCCAGGCGACGGTGTTGCCGGTGCTGACGTCGTTTCAAGGGGAGCGGCGTCAATGGTAGTGGTGACGGGATCATCACTCATCATGTGTGAGTGGTCCTCCACATCCATCATGCCCATATCGTGATGATCGTGTCCGTTGAGAGACGACTGTTCCAAGCGGGCAGTCAGGTTGGACGGAAAACCGTTATCGAGGACCATTCCCGGGGGGCTCAGGCTTCCGCTGCCCAGATGGCTCGCCGAGTCCTCGCCTTCACTAATAGGCGACGGCAGACGGCGATTCTGGATGCTGTGCCAATCGTCGGTGCCTTCCATGGTACGAGGAATGGAGCGGGACTCGTCGCTGCCGAAGCCGGCGTGCATGTGGCCCATATTCACTACGCCGGTACGATGGCTCACCGCGGGACCCGGGCCGCGCCAGTCGCGCGCTGAGGAGCCGCCATTCATGAATTGGGAGGCAAAGTTTGGCTGAATCGGGGTGGGCATACGGCCGTTGACAGAGGCGGGCTGGTCTGACTGGATGTGCTGCTGCGGGACAGGAGGCGGCGACATTGTGTCCATCATGTCCATGTCACGATCGGGCTCGGTCGGACCAAAGGGCGAGGGCTGGCAAGACATGGGCGCGGGTGATGACGACCATGGCGAGAAGTGTGACCTGGGTTGTTCCTCTGAGTCCGAGTCGCCTGGTGTCAGAGTGCAAGGAGCGGCGTTGAGCGGTATAACGGGTGTCGACCAGCGCTTCGAGGAGGTCGGCGATGTTCGGAGGGGTAGGCATTGAAGGCGTTTCTGTTTCACGGGGGGAAAAGTCAGTAATGCTTTTCCAGATGATCACAGAGAAGAGGGTCAAGCAAGAAATGGGCATGGCCTACGTTTCTGTGTTCACCAAAGCTCAGAGTGCCATTGTGCATGTCCTCCTCATCGTCACGTCCTCTCTTCCGAGTTAAGTCTGGGTGATGCTGGATTCCGAACATGGTGAAGGCCGTGGTGTGGGGAGGAGGAGGTGTGGTATGGGTGTATGTAAATGGAATGGGATTGGATGCGATTTTGGTGAACGGCTAGCGGATGAAATGCAGAGGCGCAACTAGCGATAATAAGCGTCGAGACTCTGATATTGGTATGTAAAGTTGATTATGTCGTTCGGTATGTTGAAGAAGAGAAGATGGACAGGACAGGACAGAATGACGATGGATGGCACCGAGTGTGCCGTGGCTGCCTTTCTTCTGCTCGTGCACAGGCTGGCGGTGCTTGCGCTCGTACTGAGTGCTGGGTGCTTGCTGGGTGTAGGTGCCAAGTTGCCCCGGACTGAAGGTGCCGGGATGGGCGGGGGGGTGGTTGGTTCAAGGTTGTGGTGGCAGGCGCGGGCGTAGGCGCAGCTGCGGGTGCAAAAGTGACAGGCAGGCAGTATCCGTAAAGGGAGGGGGCCTCGTATTTGGCCTGGCGGGTTATTGAATTCTATCTGGTCGCTACTGCGTACTACTTCGCGCAAAGGGAGGCTGAGTCGAGTTTAAGCAAGGTGATGCTGCGATAGTTGTAGAATGAGAGCGGAAAGAGGAGAAGAAAGATGGGAGGGAAGAAGCAGAAGGAGGAGCAAGAGTTGGGGACTCGGAGGAGGTTGACGTTGCGCAGTGCGTGGTGGGTGGTGGGTGGTGGTGGTGCGTGGTGTAAGTCGCACCCGATGAGGCAAGGCTTCGATCTGCACAGCGCCTGTGGTCTGCGGTCTGCGGTCTGCGGAAGCTGTGGACGGCGGGCTACCTGCAGTAATTCACCTGGGGAAGGACAGGATGAGGTGGGAAGATCCGGTGGCCTGGTCGTGATTGGAGATGCTGCAGTTGTTGTCCGACGCCAGCTTCCCTTTTGTTCTTTTCTTGGATGAGTCTCGTCCTGAGTACTGGCTGTGATGGACGAAGATGGCGTTGTATCTCAGAAGGCAAGGTAGGAAGGTATCTTGGAGAAACCAGAAAAGCCAAACCGAGTTGTCGGGAAGGGGGGCAGTCGTAGGTAAAGTAATCCGCCAGGGAAGCAGCGAAGCAGAGACAGGCAAAATAAGGTACTTTATCCGTACATGGAAGTTACACACAATGGAAGGAAAGCAACTTGAGCACCTTCTTGCCTTGTAAGCCACCTCGAGAAACGGCGACACGAGGCAGCAGGAACGACAGAGACCAGTGACGGCAGCCTGCCAGAAAGCGGAATAGCGCAAAGACGCCACAAAAGGGGGAAAAGCAAGAGGCACCAGGAGGCTCCTTCCTTCACACCTCGCCTCGCCTCATCTACCTAACGAGTAACACCCAGTACCTTCCTTCCTTCCCAATACCTAAGGTACCTAGAGCCTACCGGCATTCAATTCCCTCTTTCTCGATGTTCAATTTCCATTGGCAGCCTTAAGTCCCCGCCCTGCCTGTGCGGTAGGTACATCTTCAGGACTTCCATTAGCAAGAGGGAAGGCAGGAGAGAAGAATTGCAGAAAAAAAGGCCAAAGCAAGAAGGAGCCGAAAGGGCCCAGACCGTCAAGGTTCTTCCCGGACCAACGGTTTAGGGGACGTACCGCCTCCACTTGCACCCCTAAAGTTTTCTACCTTAGGCAAGCGCGCACACCCACGCAACCACGCACCCTCCACGGCAAGCACGACACGGGAGGTCGGAGACTCGGAGGTGGAGACAGGGAGGAGGAGGAGGGGCGCTAAGACGGCGCTAGTTCCACCCTGCTGGAATTGAACCCGCCGGGAACCTGGGAAAAGAAAGGCAAGAGAGCATATGAAAGACAACAAAAGATCTTGTTCAATGGAGGGTGGTTGGGTTCTCATGGAATGTGATGGCGTCAAGTTGCGAGTTCAAAGACCGTAGGGAGACGAGAGCTGACTGCCATACTACACGTTGGGATACGAACATCGAAGAGCAATGCGGATGGGTTCGAGTGTTGGGCTGTCTTCCTGGAAATGAGAAAAAGACCGTGACAAGGCAATAACTTGGTCCCAAATCGTCCAAGCAAATTGGGGATCAACCACGACCGCAAGACAAGGACAGGACGAATACCGGGATCGGAGAATAAGAAGAGACATGCAACAATCGGTTTGCAAAATGCGAATGTGTGATATAGGGCATGGTAGCCTTAGAAACGAAAAGGGAAAAGAAAGCAATGGCCAAAGAGCTGCTATTCCTACCAGCCCAATATCCAAGTGACCGGGGGCATGTTCAACGTCCTGATACTTCCCAATGTGAAGATATCCGAGTTTCTTTCTTCTTTCCAGCTCGCACCGTTGCTGGAAAGATTGTAGCATTTCATGTGTCGCGTGCCCATCTACCACAAACCAACATGACAACTTGCTCACCCCATCTCACAGACCAAACATCATAAACTTGCTCTCGCTCCTCGCGTCAAAACGGGCGGACAAAGTCCCCATCAGCTACACATCCCTGATAAAGATTTGACTGACTAGCAACTGCTGACCGACCAAGAACTTACCCTTTCCATCACCTCGTACCTGACCTCAGAAACCTCGAAAGGAGCAAAACGGCCGCTGAAGAAGACGAGGGTATCTGTGCCAAAGAAAGTTGCAGGGTCACGTACGTTCGTTCGAGGCGACGTGACCTTCTTGCCGCTGCATGGCGATTTGCTGGTTCGTCCCGCCTGTTCAACCTCTGGCACCCTGTGGCATGTTCACACATTTCTTTTTTGTGTCTTGGTCGTTGAAAAGAGGTATCTTCACAGGGTGACAGGACACTCTAAGGGACGTGATGGGTTGCGGTGTGTAGTGGTGTTGAGGGCTGCGTTTCAGGATTGCTTCATGAGAGGCCGGGGTGGGTAGGATGAAAGCGGTTGAGTGGGCGGGTTGGGTTGCACCACCAGGACTTTTCCGACCATGACGGCGGGGTCACGGGACTATTCGTGATCGCTACGGAGTAATCCTTCACGATATCCTTTTGGGGCGACTTGATTGTGGATGGGAGGCGAGTCCCTAGAGAAGATCATGTTGCGAAGGGTGTTGAACTTGAGTGGCCATCTTATGTCGTCGTTGAGGTCATCGTCTGCACCCAGGCTTTCTACATACCCGGTCTTTAGGTCTACTCGATGGCAGTGATCACCAGGTAAAGAATGTCTATCGGACTCATGTGTAGCTAGTTCCGCGATGTCGTAGTCACGATCTAGGTATGAAAGTAAATAAGGCTTCCAGTGCGAAAAAGGGCAGCCGCACCTTTCCTCTTCGGCCACCTCGCGAATCTCAAAAAAGCCTAAAGACGCGAATCGGCCCAAACTTGCGCAAGATCTGGTTCCACGGCCTGAGCCATGCCGCAAACCTCGATTGCCAAGAGGTTCGCTCTTCGGCGAACAGCACAGAGCCGCAGGTTCCAACTGATGGTACTACCACGACCCTGCGTCAAAAGGCAGAATAAAGCAATGGCCAAGACGGAGCGTGAGGCCCGTCTTCAACCCAATGGGCCTTACCCTACCTGACAAAGTGTTTGGTTGATGATGTTGCTGTGTTTATAGATGATACATCTCACGTCCGCGTAGAATCCATTCATACCTACCCAAAAGTCGTATCAGAGTTGCATGTCTCAGCCGTTCCTTTCATAATCTCTGACGCTACGTCAGCTATCCGCCGTCAGGGTACCATCTGCGATAAATATACCTACACGGAAATGCAACTTGGGCATATCTGCCAAAATACGGTAAGTCACAATGCAGAATCCTTGCGTGTCCGGGCCATGAACGTGCGCCAGCAACCGCGCAGACGAGCACACAAGACGGCGCTGGTCCCCCGCCTAAACCCCACGAGTCGTTCACTCTAAAAGGCAATGATTGAGACTGGTCGGACGGGCCAGCCGAACGCACAGCCGCGCGTCCGTTCTTCTGAGGGCTTTGGGCTCTCGGTAGCTGAGTCACGGTTGACTGAGAGGAACGAGATCAGACGCCGGTTTACTGGTACCCCAAAGCAGTTGGTGTTCTGCCACGGCTCGTTGCATACTGCCTGACAAGTTTGAGTGACAAGTGACAAGCTTGACCGTTTTGATAGGATTTGACAGCCTTCGTTCGCCAGTAATCATTGAATTTGAAGTTGCGGGCGCCTAACATTGAGCATGGTTGCCAAACATCACTTCACCACATCTTTCAGCCTCGTTCTTTTGTCCTCGCCATTTGTATACCTACTTATACTCGAAGGCTAGACCAGTTCCTATTCTGACGGAAACCAGCATATGATGATACCCATCCTAGAAGGAAATCTATTTTGAACAAGGCCAAGACTATGATCCGCGAAACGTGACCAGAACCAACGTCGATCTCTCCAAGGTCTCGTCAGAGAGCCGGGGCCAACGGCGTGTGGGTTTCACCTCTATTTGCGGTCAACCAAAGCCTCGTTCACGGAGCTGTTACATGGCATTCTCGTTGCAAGTTGAAAGACGACAGCGGAGAACAGCGTGTATCAAGCCATGGTCCCATTTTCAGCCTTGTCCTTTAGTTGTCCCTCCCGCAGGAGGTTGAAAGTGGATTCGCCGGCCTCGTTGTGAGGCGGGTCGGGGCCGCGGGGGGCTGGAGGATGTAACGGCGCCAGGCGGACGCACCTGGAACGCTCACCTTAGGTCACCTTCGTTCAGTGCCGGCATCGGTACCCCACAAACCGAGGTGAGGCTTCGGTGAGACCGCGAGGGAATTGGCCAATGAGATGTTGTCAATTTCTCACACAAACTCTTTCTTTTCTATTCGTTTTTTTTTTCCTACGAAAGAAAGAAAGAGGGGCGTTTAACGCTAACGGCGTCTCATCTCTGTTCAAGGCCTCCAACGTCAGGAAGCACATGTAACACAATTCTTTCTCTCGTCTGACATGATTAGACTCGATGTGACTATCTGGGTTTTTGTATAGTTCTTGAGGGAGCCATCGTAAGCAGGAGGGAGAGTTGTGAGCGGTGAAGGGGAAGAGAGGAAGAATATTTCCGCTGTATGCTGGTGCTGGTGCCTGCATCTGCCCACTCAGATACCCCTCCAAGATTTTTTTTCTGCCCCGCCATCGGCGCTTCCTGACTCTTGCCCACTGTTTAGCATAGCATGGTCTTCTTCACTGCGTCACCGTCGCGTATCGCCGTCACCCACTCCGCCGATGATTCCGTGGGTAAATTCTGGTCAGTCGAGAATGAGATGACTGGATCTGTGACGTCGATGGACCCAGAATTTGTGCGGACAACCTTACTTTGGAACGACGAAGATAGCAGAAAGTGACTCGCAAAGAGAAGAGTTACACAGTAGATACCCCGCCATATGATGGAAGTGAAGAATTATCCAGACAGAAAGAGACTAGACACACGTGGGACAAGAAGCGCCAACAGCGCATTTCAACGCAAGTTGAGCATGATATTGTCCTAGTTAGGTACCTCCTGGCCAAAGAAAAGGAGGCAAGATACCTTGGGACCTCTTTCCGGCGGGATTGCCTCCGAAAGAAGCAGAGGGCTCCGCGTCCGCCGCCGCCAGTCACAAACCACACAAACACAGTGACCAGTGACACACACAAAGGGACGGGGGGAAAACAGTGTTTTTCAAGTGGCTTCATCATTTATTTTTTGAATTTTCTACCTGAACAAAAAAAAAAAAAAACGAACCCACTCTCTGAGTCACCGCCCACCACAGTCTTCGACCAACACCCCCCCAAAAAAGGCCACTACCGGACGCTCCCCTTCCCCTGTGGACGAACATTCATCCTCCCACTCCTCCAGGCTCGGTCAACGACGGCTCAAGCAACGAATTCACCACACGATACCCCGTCAGATCCAATAGGCGACCGGCTGTTCGTCCGCTCTTCCTTTCCGTTGTTAATACCAGTGTAAGCTTATTTCCCTACCCTTGATTGGCTTTATGCCACTGCCGTTACGCGGCGGGAGATCGACCTCTTCGTTCAATCTGGGGAACCGTTTCGGGGTTGGTGGGTGGTTTTCGCGGTCAATCTCACGATGGGCAGCATCCACCATACACCACAACCACCAGCGGTGACGATGGAGGAGGGGTCCAATCGTTCTAGCAGTGCTTCAAGATGAGAGAAACAATGTCACTGACTAACATTCTTTCAATTTTGCAGTTTTCAAGATACCCCAAACCCATCAACACATAGCCAAAATGCCTGGTCTCGACCTTGAGCATGAGCCCCTCGCGGCTGACGACGTGAGAAGTGAGTCACTTTTTTTTTCTCTTCGTCTATCTCTCCAACACAAGGTGGATGAATGAGCCCACCCATCTTGGGAAATCTCACTCATGGACCCCCCCCCCCCTACCGCTCTGCCCCACACAAGCTGTTCATCTCAAGCTGCCGTCTTCATTCACATCGAGACTTTACGCAAACTCGTTGTCAAACAATTCGACATTCAATCTCATTCTACCACCCGGTTCACTCACTATCATTCTCACCAAACACCTTCATATCATACCTCACTCATCTCACTCGACTCGCCCACAACACCACCAGCACCACCACCCCTTTGAACCGACAGCCATCACCACAATGCTCAACCAACGACTAACGCACCCTCAGTCCTGGGACAGGATCCCCTGATCCCTCCCGCCCTTCTCTCCTCCGAGATCCCCATGACCGACGCCGCCCTCCAAACCGTCGTCCGCGGCCGCAATGAGGCCGTCGACATCATCATGGGCAAAGACGACCGTCTCCTCGTCATCATCGGCCCCTGCTCCCTCCACGACCCAGCCACAGCAATCGAGTACTGCGCCCGCCTCAAGGCCCTCGCCGCGAAGCTCTCCTCCGACCTCTGCGTCATCATGCGCGCCTACCTCGAGAAGCCGCGCACCACCGTCGGCTGGAAGGGCCTCATCAACGACCCGGACATCGACTCCACCTTCAAGATCAACAAGGGCCTGCGCATCTCCCGCCAGCTCTTCAGCGATCTTACGACTGCCGGCATGCCCATCGCCAGCGAGATGCTCGACACAATCTCCCCCCAGTTCCTCGCCGATTTCATCTCGGTTGGTGCCATCGGCGCCCGCACCACGGAATCCCAGCTCCACCGCGAGCTCGCCTCCGGCCTGTCCTTCCCCGTCGGCTTCAAGAACGGCACCGACGGCAACCTTGGCGTCGCCATCGACGCCATTGGTGCCGCGGCTGCGAAGCACCACTTCATGGGTGTCACCAAGCAGGGCCTCGCCGCCATCACCCGCACAAAGGGCAACGAGCACGGCTTCGTCATCCTCCGCGGCGGCTCCCACGGCCCCAACTTTGACAAGGAGAATGTTCAAAAGGCAAAGGACACGCTCACCAAGAAGGGCCAGAAGCAGGCCATCATGATTGACTGCTCCCACGGTATGTCCCCCGTCCTAACTTACAAGCACTTCAAGACCTAACACACCACAGGCAACTCCAACAAGGACCATCGCAACCAGCCCAAGGTCGCCGCCGTCATCGGCGACCAGCTCCGCGAGGGCGAAAAGTCCATCATCGGCGTCATGATCGAGTCCAACATCAACGAGGGCAACCAAAAGGTGCCCGCCGAGGGCCCCGCCGCCCTCAAGAAGGGCGTCTCCATCACCGACGCCTGTATCGACTGGGACTCCACCGTCGACGTCCTCGAGGGCCTCGCCTCCGCCGTTCGCGCCCGCCGCGAGCGCAACGCCGGTTCGGCCAACGGCAACGAGGACTCGCACAAGGTTACCCACCTTGAGGAGGAGTAAAGCAATCGTCACGTCTAGTAAAAATGACTAGTTTGTGATTTTGTGAGCAAAGAGAGGAAACACCCAAAAGAAAAATAGGGGGATGGAGGGGCTTTGATTGGATGAAATGGAACAGACCAACCCCATATGCATAGCATTTGCATTTTTCAAGGCTCCAGGGAGGAAATCAAGAAAAGTGATTTTTTATGCGGTTTATAGTCACGGTTGCATGGGTTCATGATACATGCGTCCTGGGTTGCTCGAGGGCGCCGAGGACAATTTGGAGAGATAGATAGCTTCGCAAAACAGCTTCTGGAGTCTCCTTCAACTTTGTTAACTTTGGTGATGCCAACAGCTTGATGCTGTACCGTCCCGTGATATTCCTACATAAGCCTCACCCATGAACTTGAACCCAAATCACGCCCACCCAAACGCCTTTCCTAAACCCTAGTACCCTTTGTGCCAGATATCAAGTCGTATCAACTCGGCCTCGCAGGCGAAAGCTGGCTATAATCCCCCCTCCCCCCAGAAGCAGCAGCAGCATCAGCCGCCCTCTTCCCCTCCCGCAGCTCATTCGCCCTCTTAAACACAGCCCACCCCAGCAAACCCGATGTGCCTAGCAGGAACCCCCACACAATGACGCGGTCCTTGTTGCTGTCGCGCTGGAAGCACATGGTCTGAACGTCTTCGTCTTTAGCCTTGCTGCAGAAGTCGATGCCGCGGCTGAGGCAAAAGGCCTTTGTGCATTGCGAGCAGGAGGAGGAGGCGGCGCGCTTGTTGAGGAGCGAGGAGGAGGAGGTGTCGCGGGTAGAGGGAGGAGCGTTGCCTGGTGGTTCGCCGTCTGCTTTTTGGGGGCCCAGTGCTACGATGGTGCTGTTTTTGAAGCAGGTGCATTTGCAGAATGTTGGTGCTGCTTGGAGGGGTGTTAGTATGTCTTTGTACTCGGTGTTGGGAGAAGGACTTGGCATTTGCGATGGACTTACAGTTTGCGCTGACGAGAGCGACGAAGCCGCATAGTAGCAGCAGAATCATTGATATCCGGTTCATTGTAGCGAGCTGCATCCACTGCCGACCGGATCTGGGTTGTTTCTCGCGACGGGCGCGGGAGGTAGGTGAAGTTGTCGCCGTCTTTGGCTCGCCGTCAGAGAGGTGACGGACGCACGAGCCACAGCCGGAGCGGATCAGGGACGCGACCCACATAGATGTGGCTTCTACCCTCGCTGAAGTGTGGCTGAAGCTTCACTATCTCTGATTCGCCGGCAGAACCCCAGCATCCAAAAAAGTTCAATTGGAGACTTTGAAGCTCCCCCTACCGAACATTGTGCTGTGTCTTTCGCCCGTACCTGGAGTGGAAGAGGAATATCACCAACCTTCAACCTCTACAACACATCACAACACTGTCGCCCACAATGCGTCGTGTACCCCGTCTCAGGCAGCCAAGCCTGCTGGCAGCCTCCCCGATCCAATGCACCTGCGCCGCGCCCGCCACATTCCCCATCTCAGCAACAGCATCACGAGCCCTCTCAACGACACCCGCAACCCCCAGCCGCGTCCGCAAGTTCCTCTGGAAAGGCGGCGACGCCCCCGGACCCGAAGACCCCTACGCCGCCGAATCCTCCCAGGCCCTCCGCCAGCAGCGCATCGCGCAGGAGCTAGCCGAGGCCGAGGCCGAGCTGGCCGCCTTCGAGGCCGATAGCCAGCAGACGCAGCGGGCCGAGCAGAAGCGCCGCCAGAAGCCCCAGAGCCGGCTCGCGCATCAGATCAAGAATAAGCGCGTGTGGGCGCCGACGGAGAAGGAGGTCGAGGGAGGAGACTACGTGCCCGCCAAGACGATCGATGGGCTCGAGGAGATTGGTGGGCTTGAAGGGTGGTGGGAGCAGGAGGGCCGCTGGGGCAGGGAGAGCGAGTACGTTGGCTTCGCGAGTGCCGGTGAGGTCGTCACAGATGCCGATGTGTGCGCTGCGCGCGTGAGGCAGGCTGTTGTTGAGGCGCTTGCTGTTGCTGGGTCTTCTGCTGAGGTGCAGGGCCGGTTGACGGCTGCGTGGGCCAGGGGCGACGCGGAGGGCTTCAGCAGGGCGACGGCGCTGGGACTGAAGATTGGCGAGGATGGTAGCGTCTCTCTTGAGGGTGACGCTGCGGCGATTGAGGGCGTCGTCGCGCCTTTGCTGGAAGCTCAGGAGGCGCAGACCTCAGAGGGCGCTGTCGAGGCTGCCGAGGCGAAAGCCTTGGTAGAGGCATGGGGCGAAGCCTGGAAGAGCATTTCTCTCGAGGACGCACGATTCAAGTTTGCTGTAAGTCTTCCCCCCTTTACTAGCAAAAGGGGCCGAAACCATTTTAACACTTGCTGCGATAGGTCCACAAGCGCGTCTTCCAACTGACGGGCCACCGCGTCCACGACGCCAAGCTCGCGCAGATCAACACGGTCGGCGACCTCATCGCCACCGTCGTCAAGCCGCCCAAGCCCACAAAGGTCGCTGAGGCCATTGCCCAGCAGGGCGCGCTGCTCGATCTGCCCAACGTCCGCGTCCGCGACCGCCGCGTCACACCCATCGACAAGGAGACCGAGGTCGGCCGCTGGAAGGTCATCGAGGCGGAGCTCAAGAAGAGAGGCCTGCCCGTTACCGGTCACAAGCACCTCGCCAAGCCGGTGCAGAGGGCATGGATCCAGGGCAAGGCGTAAGGAGAGAGGGTGTAGTGGTGATGTCGATGAGAAAAGGCGGAAGACCAAAAGGAGAAGGAAATGTGTCTGGTATAGAGGAGACTTGTACAGATATTGTACTCTTTGTAACATATGGAATATCAATGATTCTTGCTCTGATAATATTTGGATCTTGGCTACACTTTTGAGTTGGAAAATATCTTCAGTAATACCTCTATCTAGCTAGGTTCAAGTCATGTTGGAATTGATGCTCGAACGGGCTATCATCAACATATCTTTATTTATTTGACTCTTCCACATCCCATCCATAAACAACGAGCAGTAGGCGTTGGCAGTTTCTACTTAGTCTCTGTCTCTCCCTTTGGGCCCGTTTGTTCACAATAGACATCACCGTTCTGCATTGTTCTTATGCGGATACGTGCAGAGCAAATACATACGGCCAACAAACAGACGGACCTCGACCGGGAGAGGTGTGTTTCGTGGCATAGGGCTTATTCTGTGATGTTCCCCCATCGACCTCACCTTCCTTTCACAAAGATGACTTACTTCACCTTCCTCCATCCGTCTGAATATTTCAGCCTTGCCAAAACATCACCCTTTTCGCCCTCCTTGCCTCCTCCCCCTCTCAGGTCTCTGTCCTTTTCCACTTACCGTATCTCGTTACCTTCCATTCTTCTTACAACACTTTCAGTCATTCAGACCTGCGCTATTCTCGTCAAGCACTCATCGCACAATTTCTGGCCGTACCTTTGCCCGAGATCCTTTCCCTCGCAACACATTGCGCCAGGCTACAAAACTCTCCTTTGCTTTTTTTCATATTTTACCTCTAGTCAGCATATGACAAGGATCCTTCCAGGTAAATCATCCCGAACATCCTTTGCCCCTTCCGCTGGCGACTCATCCGTCTATAGAATGTCTTCACCTCCAGACATGAGAGGGTGGTCCCCGGTCATCAGGTTGGAGAGGTGGCTACACTGGGCAAGGTCTCAGAAGCTGCCCGTGTACAGGCAGTACCCGGAAAAGTCTGCAAGAATTGACAAGGAACTCAAATCAGTCTCCTGGGATTTCGATTTGTCGGCTTTTCCTCGCCTTGGGGACCAAGAATGCTGGAAGCGCATGTACTCTGCACTTCGGTATCCGGCACGCAACCCCAACGAGCATTACTATATCAATGCACTCAACGCTGTCGATTGCGAGGTGTCGAGGATCCTCAACAATGGGAGCATGCACCAGACACTCGTCGACTTGGCGAGGAAGGCCGGCTTCGACGCGCGCAAATGTTGCGACCCGTCGCTCTCGAAGGAGCAAAGAAAATATGAGCCTCCGAAAGGATCTCGGCAGATGGACAGTGCTGACGCACACACAAATGACAATCTAGGGGCACTCCCTTCCGGGCAAGTTGGTCTGCAGGAACCGCGCAACTTCGCGGCTCTCTCGGAGCTCTTGTTTCAGCAGGAGGCCCTCAAAGAGAAGAACGAGGCTGCAGCTGCTTATACGACTCCAACAAGCGCTGTTGCGCCCTTGACCGGCAATGGAGGCGGCTCGCATCGACATGCGAGCGCGTCCTCTTTTGAAGGCCCCAGAACTGAGCCAAAGGCATTAGCAAAGAGTGCCACGATGGACAAGCACGTTGGCTTGCAATCGAGCAAACAGCCCTTGTCGGTTCAAGAGTCAGACGTTGCTGGAAGACTGTGTTCCGAGGGAACAATCAGGGACCTCACAGATCGAACGGTACATCCGATATCCAGCGACCCAGATTCGAAAATGAAAGTCAACGGATTTGTTATCCCAAAGAGACAGCGCGGGGGTAGCGTCCAGCAAGAGAAGGCTATAGCCTTTGCGAGGCCAGAGTCGAGATCAGCAACGAGCACACCCTCGAGAGGAGGGCCATCTGGTTCCCAACCCCCGCTCTCGAAGCAGCCTCCTATTCAGGCCCACACACACGCTCAGCGAACTTTGGAACAACAGACTCGACGAGAATCGAGTGGTTCCTTGAGCGGCTCTCTACCCCAGCATGGCGCATTGGCCAGAAGACCGAGTGGTACTAAGGGATGCGAACTGTCGACGCCGTCAACTCCACCGCCACAAGCCTCTTCCAGCAAAATCCAGCAACGCGGTAGTCTAGTAGTCAATGCAGAGTCTCAAGAGCAAAGTGCTCCACTGGCAGAACACAAGACGGCTAAGCAACCCGTTGTGGTCTCGACCCAGGAAAACACGACCCAAGGGCAAAACCTCACAAGTGCGATGACGAAGAAGCTTGAGGCGACTATCAACCAGAATCTCCTGGAAGCAATCCGAGGAGTCTACCGCAGCTGTCCCAAGTTGATGGAGGGAAAGATACGAGGATGGCTTGACGGCCCAGAGTACCGCTCCATGGGATTCGCTGTTCTCCGAGACGTTGAAAGCGAGACGACGAAGATGGTTAGAGAGTCTCTCGTCGCCAAGATGAGGGCCATGGAGCAAATTGTCAAGGGCTCTGAGAATCGGCATCAAGCGGAGTCACCCCGGGACACCAAGCGCAAGGCCGATGAAAAGGATGCGGAAGGAGGTGACCAGAGTCAACAGGCTGCGAAGCGGCAGCGGGGCGACGGTGGTGGCAGTGGTTGTACTGCATGAGCTATGTTGGCAGACCGACCGTTTAGATACTGACAGTGGACAACCGGGATATGACATTCTCGACAACCGTGTTTGGAATACGGCCTAAGCTTGATTATGGATTAAGGAGGATATCCTATTGGGAATTGTTTGCTTTGGCGTTCGTATCGGATGGATTTGCTTTTTGAGGATTACTCATACCCCTTTGGTGTATCTTACGAAACGACAATCGAGTCGATTGGCATGCATGGTTAGCCTACTAGAACTCCTTTTGGAAGGGCTGAGCGAAGATTTAACCCAACAAGCGCCAACATCAAATGTGAAATGTCATACAAGTAGTCATGTTTCCTCACATCAGCAACACTGAAAGCTTCATTCAGCCCTGAAAAGGGCAAGCAGCTCAATTCTCAGCTACTCAAGTCATGCGTGACCGAACTCTAGTTCGGTATAGAATAGGAAGAATTTCCATTCCCCGTTCCATCACGCGTAAGCAAAAACGCTTCATGCCATTCAATCATTCCATCTTCCTCGCTCCCGTCCTATCAAGTTTTCGTTTGTGAATTGTTTCTGTAGAAGGGGTTGTTAGATGCGTATTTTCTTAAAGAGAGAATGAGAGTAATGTGTGGAAGACGTACACTCAAAGTGGAAGTTGCCGTCGTTGTTGGACAGGCGCTCGCACAGGTTCACGTCGGCGTCAATGGCCTGGCCCTCAACGTTGAAGAGGCGGGCGCGGAGGATGGGCTGGTCGCCCTCGAACTCGAAGCGGATGCTCTCGGCGGAATCAGCGAAGCCTAGGAAAGGAATACGTTAGTGAATCTGCTGATTCGTATCATGGAAGGAGATACTGGTCAAGGGAGGCAGCCCGGGTTTCTCCAGTGAGATATAGAGTGTGTATGGAAGTGCGAAAGGATGAAGGAGAGGAGGAGGATTTAGACATACCGCGGCCACCCCAGTCGAAACGGCCGTTGTCGTTGCCGAGGCAGTCGTTGAGGTTGCACTCGGCGTCGACGAAGTCGCCGTTGCCGTTCTGGAGACGGGCGCGGAGGATGTGGCCGTCGTCGACGCGGGTGTCCTGGGCGGAGTGGTGGAAGTTGGACATTTTGGCTGATGTTTGTTTGTGAAGGTTGTTTTGGGAGATGAATTGAGTTTATTCAGAGGGAAGAAGAAGAGCTGCGGGTGAGTGGGGGATGGGAAAGCTTTATATAGATGTTGAATGTCGTCAGGACGGAGGATGACGAGGGTAGGAGTGACGGGGCAGCTGCTTGTGGCTGGAACCTTATTCACATCAAGCTGGAGAACAGGCAGGAAGCTCGGGAGGGGCAAGGGGGGGTGAAACTGTGGAAGAGAGAGGCCTCCATTGTATTCACTGGGTACTTTGTCGTCTGTTGCAGACACGTGGAGGTGGGAAACGGCGGTCTTGAGACGAGGAGAGCGGGTTTCCATTGGCGATGGAAGCTTGGCCGGGATCGCTGTCCACGCCCTGCTTCTACCTCAGGGAACCTCAGGGAAGCTTCATGTTCTCGTCCATGAGCCTAGAGCTGAATCCCTCAGCCATTGGCAATATCTGGGCTCATCCTTGGCCCTGCCACTCTGGCCCTATAGGGAGAAGCTAGCTTCACGCCCATGAACCAGTTGGATCCGGATTGCTCACTTCCCATAGCTTCGGTTCGTTTCTGTGCCTAGCATGTCGTAACCTGTGACCTCTGGTTTCCATGGGAGGTGGTGTCACGGTGCTGGCTATTCTTGCTACGTAGCTCATGGAGCCAAGAGCCTCCTCCGCTGACAGGGAAGAGGGGGCAGGCATGGGAGCTTCCAGGAGAGCTGGTTGGTTGGACAGGGGGCCAGACGAGGCGAGGGTGAGGCTAGGCGATGGAGGGGCGGCGGGGTGGGAGCTTAAGTGGGATGGATGGAGGGGTAGCTCTGCTCTGGTTCCCATTTCACGTCACGGCGATGCCGGGTTATGGATATTTCGTATGGCTGTACGGCATTGAGTGCCTAGTAAGTCCACGGCGTAATAGGAGCTACTTTTGGCACCTTTGGTAGACTAAGGTAGGTAGCTACTCAATGCCTCTAATGCACTCCCCACGCCATGCCTCGAGTCTATTGATGCCCTTCTTCTTCTTGCCATTCGACCCCGCCGGCACAAGGGTGCCGAGGGCTCGCGATGGGGGCCGCTTGGCGTACATGAGGGGACACGCCTCTCATGCAGGGTGCGACTGGGACAAACTGGGACACGTTTGGATACGGGGGAGCCAGGGACGACTGAGAGGCCACGAGAGGTTTCTCTGGTGTGTTGGATGACGCGGCCTGCCTTTTGTCTCTTGGCCTGTAGGAAGGAGGACAACATTGGGGTTCACTGTGGTCTTGCTCTATAAACACAGGAATGGGAAAGGGAAGGAAACATAGGCTGCTTTGAAGCTTGGGGCGTGGCATCATGGCCCGTGAGTGTGGAAGAGTCTGGGCAGAAGAATTGGGAGGCAGCCGCGCGCTTGCTTCGGCTGAAGACGAGAGGCGTGAGGTTCTTGGCGACTTGCCATGATCCGTGGGTTGCCTCTCCCTCTCTGGAGGCCCGCGTATTTGGGAATCGAGGTAGGTGGGAGGAGTAATTCTGGGGAGTGAAGTGAAGTGAAAGTAAACAAAAGGCCAGAATCAAGCATAAAGTCGGCTTCGGCACGCCACGACTAACGCGCTACAGAGCTCCTACCCCTGTTCCTGAAGACAATTGGGCTACAGAAGGAAGTGGAGAAGTCAATGAATAGAGCTTGTCATCTGAGACCTACCTAAAGTCCACTCCGTAAGAGCTGCAGAAGGTGAGTACCGGTAGGTAGTCTCTTGATGCTTCAGACTTGAAAGCATGACGCTGGAATAGCTCCAGACATGAGACCTTAGAGGCCTGCCTCTCTTGTTCTCACCACTGTAACAAAAACAGAGACAGAAAGAGCTACCAAGCTTCCTCTTGGTTCCCGTTACTTGCTTCTCTAGCTCACGGAGAACAGAGGGTGGAGGCATCGCGTCGCGGGTTCTGAACATGTCGTCCATTCATGTGGCATGAGGTTTTCCCTGGTACCACTCTTTTTTCTGCCCATTGGATTCTTTGGCCCCCCAGCAGAAGCAGGTCCGACCTATCAGAGTCTTGAGAAGAACACCAAAACAGAAGTATTGGCGGGGAACGGAGGCCGTGGCCTGCGGCAAGGACCGATGCGTTCCGTTCGTGGCATCGCCTCATGGGGCCAGAACTCTGAACTCAGACCCCTCCTCTCTGCCTTTCTCTGTCTGGTTCCTGTTTCTAGTCCAGGGTTCTTGGGCTAGCCTGGGAAGCTTCAGAGGGCTGGAACACGATGGTACGCCACTGGCGTGATGGTCCCCGGTGTATGCTGGCGGTCTGGCGTAACGATGTCGTCGTAGATGTAGCAAAGGCGTGTTTGTATTGGCTTCTACGTACTCCATTGTGGTTGTCGTGGGTGAAGTGAGGTGTGTTTTGAGTTGAGGTGACGATCTTCTTTGTGGTTGCACAGAGCACCACAGGCACCACACAGGCACCAGAGGCACAACTCTCAGGGGGTTTTCGGAGGGGTCCCAGTCGAGGGGGGAGCCAAGGCGGGGCGGGGCGGGGTTCGGATTCATCATAGGAGCGGTCAGAAGTTTGGAGGGGTAGAAAAGCAAGGTAGAGGGCAAGACTGGAGGTGAAGCAGACAGAGGATTGAGTGATTGAGACAATTGGCGACAGGCACCTTGACAGCCTTGGCCGGGACCTTGATGAGACGATCAAGGTTGACGCTATTGGCACCTTGAGGGGTTGGGCAGTTGTATAAAGGGATGGTTGTCGTCCAGCCTGCAGGACTGAGGAGTATGTTTGCTGCGAAGACAAGACGATCCTTCAGCAATTCCTCCAGGCAACGAATAGTTCCAGAAAAGATCAAGAGCGGCACAATACTTTCAACATCACCAGTGGAACAATGGAACAGAATTCGGCGTCTCAAAAGATGTATTGCTCAAGTGAGTGACTAAACATGCCAATAGGTCCATCGATTAGAAGGAACACTATCCGCCGATGCAAACTACCCATCAACCAAGTCGTAAACCATATCCCGAATTCAAAAACTCATATCGTCGTCGTATCGAGAGGAAGCGAAACCGCAGTAAAGCAGCAACGTATCACAGGTCGTCGTCAAGGGAAGAGGCGTTTATTTGCAGGAGGAGCAAGAGCAGCCAGAGCCGCAGTTGCCTGAGACAGGTTAGCGTCTTGGTCTCCAATGACTGACCGCCGACAACACCGTTGCGGTCGCGGTGCGGTTGCAGGGGGAAGAGTAAGGTACATACAGGTAGAAGCGCCGGAGCAGCCGCAGTCACCCTTCATTTTGATGGTTGTTGGTTGGTTTTGGGGGTTTTAAAAAAAAAAGGTGTTGTTGTAGTTGACGTGATGGACTTGGATGTTGACGTTGTGGAGATCAGATCAGAGGCGGAAGAAGGGAGGTAAGAAGCCGCGCACTTATATATCCAGAGCCTCCTCCAAGCAGCTCGGACAGTCACCCAGAGGAGGGGACACTGAGAGTAGCAGGAGGAGGGGTCAGATGTCAGATGAGGGTGGCCAGATGGGACCGGATCGGGGGGCCGTCATTGGGCGGGTGCGCCGTTTGTGCGGAAACGCAATCCAAGTCAAGCCAGCGTCGTGGCTCGGGACTGGCGACCTGTTGGCGAGGGGTGCCTCGGTGGGGTTTGCGCTCTTTGTGCGTTGATGGTAGCCAGTCGTCCTCCTTTTCTTTCGGGGCTGGAACTTGGCCCGGCATGGATGTCCATGGAATGGCCCATGGGGTGGGTTGAGTTGGTTTGGGGGAGGTCTTTTTGCCCTTTTTTGCGCCGCGCGAATCGCCTCGGCCGCCCAAACCAATCCTGGCTGACGGGCAAGACAGGGTCAAAGACCACTGTGATGCTTCCCAATTGTCAACCTTTTCTTATCTCAACGCATCGTTGCCGGATAAGGTTCAGGTGGGTTGCGTCTTTTGTGCGGGAGGCGCTAGGATTCGGCCATTTGTTCCTCAATGCATCGTTTGCAGCTGACCCTGGCAGGACGATGAGATGAGATTCGTATCTCTTGAGATGTTGCCGAAGCAGGTAGGCATCCCGTGGCATTCAGTCGCAAGTTCCAGAAGTTGCACTGGGGGATTGTGGTACTGCGAGACAGACGGACATCGAGAGACTGGCAGAGATAACGGTATGACGACGATAGCAAACGGTCCTCATTCAGGCAGGACCCTGAATCTTTGCCCTGGCGGCTGACGTCGGACGCACTCGTGGCGAGGAGGGGTATCCCATCCTCTGCCTGCCCGTAAACCGCTGTAAGCTGCCCCAAGCGCAGCGCCAACGCTGATGGAGGGGCACTATCCGTAGCACTATGATGGAAGGGCGAGTGAGGGGTACCCGTGGCTGTGACGTCTGTCCTGTCACTCTGCGCCTGCGGTGTGTGTGTGGCTGTCTCGAGTTGCGGCCTTTGTGCGTGAATCTTCACCACTCGCTCTGCGATGTACCGATGTAGCTGAGACCCTGCCCTCGAGGCATTTGTGCCGTTATCAATTTCAAGTCCGAGATGCGCGCATGATCGGGCAATTCTGCGATTGATCGTCGCCTGCCTGAACGGTATGACGGAGCCACCTATCGACGGTCTCATGTCTCTCTTGTGCGTTCTTCGGCTCTTCTTCATCACTCGGCCGTTCTTCATCACCGCTTCTTCAGCAAGTTAGCGACCAGCCAGGAGGAGACAAACCCCACCACTCAGACGGCGAACCCCACGGCTCTAACAACCCTGGGTGCATTGACCCTCCTGCGTGTGTACACCTACTGCGTAGTCGAGTTGCTGCTGCAGTGCTGGACCTGCCCTGTTCCCGTCCCAACCACCTTTTCCTGTTGGCTGGTGCCGCCAACCGCGTCGGAGTGTTTTCTTAGTCACGATGCTAGCGATTTCGAGGCTTTGAGCGGCGCCGTTCTCTTTTGGTGGCAGGTGCGAAGGCTGCTAGGCCATGCGTCCGACGGCGGATGATGTCGGTAGGAGGCGAACTTTCCTGACCGCTCTAGTCAGGCCCGATGAAGACTGACGGAATGGGACATTTCCAACTTCGAGAGCGTAGGTAGTATTACTAGTGTATCCGTATCCATACACGTTCTCGTCCTCATCTGCACCGTGCCGCAACCTGCTGTTATCGAAGGTAAGGATTCGCAGACTCTCCGATTGGACCTTCTTTGTGGAATCTCATCTTGCTGCACTGGTCTGTAAATTGCGCGCATTGATGAAACTTGCTCGATAATCCTCAAAGATCTGCTTGCTTGTCCATAGCGAGGGATGATGAATTCTGTTATTCGCGAACAAGTCAAGGCGCCATAGGAGAATCTTCATCAGAGACGCTGCAGCAAGACGTTGATGACCGCTTCGGGCAACGATCGGCTGATGTCGGAACGGATGACATCGACGCACGGGCACCGGAAGCTCGGAACTTGTCGGAAAATCCGGTCACGTGCTCCATCGGCGTTAAGGTACTCTGGGAAAGTCGAGAATCTCCACCACGATTCAATGTCTACCTTAGACGTGATGGCATCAAGTTATCACAAAATCTGTCAGAGGACCAGAACAATCCCAATAGGCGAGGACGGGCCGCTCGGCCAAACCATCCCGCAAACGTGTAAAGTAGGTCGCATGGGATTGTCACGCAAGTCCGCCAAACGATGCTGGGGCTACGTTGCTTCTCAACATCAGACACCACGCAGAGCAGCTGCGACACGACGTGTGAGTGGCATCTATTCTGCAGCAAGTGGAGCGCCAACGTTCATCAGACACAAGAGGCGATTGGGATATCTCAATAAATCAGAATGCATCATTTGCGCTATCCTAATGCTTCTTGCGCAAGTGATTAGCCTGACCTTTGTCTACTGAAGTTAATGCCATAAACCCACACCCAATGTTTCTGTCCAGAGACCTCCGGATCATCATCCCGAATCAACGATTGCACGCTCTTGCTGGCCTTGGTTTGACAGTCGAGCAGGAATATCAATCTCTTCTCTCCAAATTTCTTTCCAATTGGACGCCCAGAAAGCCTGACGCATCGCAGGAAAGAAGACAACCATTAGTCGGAAGTCAGTTCCGGCTCCATACTTCCTGGCCTCTTGAACGACTTCATGCCAGTCAATGTTACCTCCAACGTGGACACTGACGGCCACGGTTCCGAAGCGAAGCTGTCCCACATGACGTGCCCGGCAGAGAGAGAGGACAAGAGATTTCACACCTTCAAAGTAAGGTGCGCCTGTCATGTCCTCTCCGGTGTCTGTGGTATCTAAGAGAAGCAACCTCGCTTGCCGGGGCACCCAGTCTCTGAGCAACGCAGCGCGTTCATCCAGTCCCTCAAGGAGCGAGTAGTACATCGCAATTCTGCTGCGGAATACTTCCAGGCCGGACAGGTTCCACGTGCTGCTTATCAGAGAGTGAATCTCTAGAGTAGGGTTCTGGCCAAAGAACTTGTTTATCACCTGCTTAGGAAACCTTAGGCTCAAATGCTCGACGCAGGGACAACATTCCGTGATCGTGTGACCCAACTGGTCCCTTATTACCAAGCCGCCATTGGAACTCAGAGAATCGAATTCGACAAAGAGATGCGTGAGCTTCGGGAATCGACTCAGGGCCCTGCTGAGAGTAATGGCATTCATGCCCGTGGGCCGAAGGATGAGTTGCGTCATGGAAAGAGATGTTCCACTACTGAGAGGGCCGGAAAGACCCCAATGGCCAAAATCGTACGAGGAAACAACTGCCTCAAGAGTCGGATGGGCGAGGAAGTATTCCAAGAGTTTGAACCCTCCGCCAATAGAATAAAAAATGTCGAAGTGTGTCGAGCTAGGGAGCAAGACAAGCCACTTGAGTTCTGGGCAGACTCTCCGCTTCATACCTTCGACGGAGTACGTTGAAATGGCGACGAACAGCATTGTCCGCAATCCTATTGTTGGTAATCTATGGGAAGCGGGATTGTTGTTTTGCACCTGAGAAATTGCGAGGGAGTAAATCCTGGGAACAAAACAGAGCAACAGACCAATCAGTAACCCCATAATGATTGAAAGGTCTAATCGACTCATCGCCGCGCGCTGTCTGCATAATAGCAGGATATGTCCCTCAGCATTCGAGAGCTTGCTTTCGTCGAATATAGACTTATGCCACTTCTCAAGAATCTCAGGCGTTTTCATCTTGCTTCGGTCGTAGTAAGCGCCCGGGCCTAATGAAATGTCGACTTCGCGGATCAAGCGACGCAGATGTGGGGTTTCAACCAACGTTCGGATGAGAAGTACTAGTTGATTGTAATGAGTGTGCGGGAGCTTGATGGTGTGATATAAACCCTGTTGAGCTAACGAGAGTGTTCTCTGGTTTACGAGACAGAGAGGGTAGGCGTCTGCGCAGTGGTGGGAAATCATTGTAATAAGCTCGTTCGGCAGTGACGAGAAAGTAGCGCCCGCCATGGCTTTGGTGTCTAGTGGCCATGCATCCGTTGTAGATGTGCTTCTTGTTGTCGGACCGCTAAGACGTCGGGGGCGAGGAAGTTCGAGTTTGATGATGGGATGATCGACTGTTGACGAGCGTCTTTTCGAAAGGCCATCAACCAATGAGAGGGTATAGAAAAGACTTCAGTTGTCGTGTTTTGTATTTGGATGCTTGTAGATGGGTGTTCTGTCGAGTGGGAGGTTTCGTCGGAGAGCGCAGAAGTGAGAGAAGTGATAGAAGTGATGAAGATGGGCAGAGTGGACAAGACTGGGCTCGGTCAAGGAGGTAGTCGGTATGAGGTAGAGTGAAGCAAGCAAGAGAATATGAGATGCCTCTTTCCACCTGCGATGACCGTTTGCTTCTCGCTGCATGCCTACCTTCCTCATCATCTGTATGGTGCCAGTAAAATGCGGAAGGAGGAACACATCGTGACCGCTTAACAGGCTGGAGAAGACTTTAGTCGGGTGGAAAGAACATCATTCTTCGCTCTGACCCTCTCACTTGATGACTAGCAAGAAGCATCTGTTGAATCCTAGAGTGGGAAGTCGTGGCCTGGAGGGAGGCAGCTGGACGATTCCCTTGGAGCCCCAGCTGAATTTGACCAACACAAGGCGTGACTTCGTTCCAATCGACATGGCTCGAACAATATAGCCATGCGACAACACCTGAGATACACTGCGTATGATGATAACATGTGCCGACATCGCAGGTGTCCCCGTAGCGTCCCGGAGGAATTCGCCATCTCCACCATGGAGTTCCAAGTCCGCTCCGGGCCATCGCCGGACGCATGCCGGAAAGGGAAGTGGTGGGCCGCCAGCCGACGCCCTGACTGGATGGAGTTGCAACTCCATTGTGGAGAGTCGGCGGCACTGACCCGGAGCGGGATTTCTGTGGTCTCGAAGAAGGCTTTGTCGTCTGAACGAGCCTCGATTGTGTGTTATGACTGGACTTTGTGAGCTTTGGATGCGATTCATATAAGAAAGAGGCAGAATGCTGCTGGAAACTTACTCTCGGGAGGAATCCATCATTGTCTTCTAAGGCACCTCTCAACTCTCTTCTCCATCGTCAGAATCCATATCACGATCGTCTCGGTCTCAGGCAACTACCTTCAGCCATGGCACCTTCAAGCACTCAAGACCTGTTCGATGCTGAACATCCCACCCCCAAAAGCATCGACAAAACCGCTTCTGCCCATCAGTACACCGCTCCGGACTTTGAACTCTTCCGCCACCTGGTGCCCCTAGTCTCCAGCGGCAAGACAACACACCTCAACGCAGCCTTCATGCCCCCCTCAAATCTCATTGTCAACGAAGCTCTCTCCCGCTTCTGCTCGGAAGCCCTGCATCAACCCTCTCCAAAATCTCGCTGGAAAGAAGATGTCGAGGCAGTTAGGGAACTACTGGGCAGGTACATCAACACAGACCCATCAGCAATCGCCTTTGTCAGGGACACCACCGAAGGCCTGGGAAACTTTATCCGCGGTCTCAAGTTCCAACCAGGCGACAACGTCGTGATTCTCGACTGTGAACATCCGAACCAAGCGTTCGCCTGGCTGACACTGCGTTCGACTGGGCTGGAGGTCAGACTCGTCCCCACAGACCCGGAGAACCCAGTTGCAGCGGACGCGAAGACCTTTGCGCCGTACGTCGATGAAAGGACCAGGGCGATCGGGCTGAGCTCCATCATGTTCCACACGGGACAACGGAACGATGTCGCGGATGTCTGCGAGGCGTTCCGGCACCGGGGAATCCACGTTCTCGCGGACCTTACGCAACAAGTTGGATTTGCTGCTGTCGATGTGGAAGAATTGGGTGTCTCGGCGGCGGCGTTCAGCCTGCACAAGGGCCTCAACTCGCCAACTGGCTTCGCGGCGCTGTACGTCGATACACAAGTCATCCACGAGATGGATCCAGTGCCACCCATTGTAGGCTACGGAGGCGTGAGCAGTGTTGGCGACTCGGAGGACTTTGCGGTCCCGGAAGGCCCCGTCGTCTTCCACCCTACCGCGAAGAGATACGAGCACGCCAACATGAGCTTCATCTCAGCCGTGGCCGCAAGGGCATTTCTCCAGTTTTATCTCGAAGTGATGGGCCCCAGAAATCTCGAGCAGCGTCTGTATAGTCTTGGAGACGCGCTGCGTCAATCTTGCGCTGAATTGGGTGTTGGCGTCGTTGGGCCAAGCGAGAGGAAACACCACGCACCACATCTTCATGTTCTTCGTTTGCAGGACCCGAGGTGGCCTGAACGCTTGGAGGCAGCAGGTATTGTAGCGACAAAGTTTAGGATCGGCATCAGAGTCTCCTTTGGCTTCTATAGCAATCTGGAAGATGTCGAGAGATTGATGGCGGTGATTCGGGCAGGGCTTGAAAGCGGCATTCCACCGTGTTAGTGATGCGCGGCCAAAGGGGATGATGAAAGAGACAAACCGACAGCCTTGATTCTCGATTGACAATATTCCAACGAAATATATATGTAGACAGTCATCCATGATGATCTTTGATGACTTCTTTCCTGTTGAATGTCGCAATCCTTAAAGTATTGACCTCCAGAGCCAGAAAGGCGATAGCGGCCTGGAGGAAAATGTTCTAGCGCAAGTGCCCTGAAAATTACAGTGAGGAGCCTCCCGCATCGGCGACATCCCATCGTCCCCTCAACTTCCCACCTCCATCAACCTCAACCTTCTCAAGCCCGCGTTGTCTCCGCCTGAACAATGCCTCCACACGATCAGGAAACATCTCTTAAGCCCACCAAGAGGATATCGTAAGCTATAGTCTGCCTCACCGTAGAACACATGTTTCTAAACAAGCGAACAGTTGCAAGAGATGCCAGTACAGAAAAGTCAGTAACTTAGAATCCTCTGCCCAACTCTTCGCTGAGACATCTCGCCAGTTCAAATGCTCCCGCACCGAGCCATGCGAAAACTGCAGCACGTCTGATACGCCTTGCGAATACCGCCCTGTAGATCGTAAACGCGTCCCGGCCTCTCACGAGTACGTCGCGAGCCTCGAGTCCCGCATCTCATGGCTCGAGACGTTTGTTCAATCTCTCCGTGTCGCCACGTCAGAGCAGCGGGAGGAGATGCTCAACTCTACGGCAGCTGCGGAGGGAAAGGACCATTCTCTTCCTAGTAGTTCTAACAAAGCTCAAAAAGAGATCCGGACGGATGAAGGAGCACCACTGGCACCAGGCAACTACATATCCCACCTCGGCATCCACGCCCGCTCAAGCGCAAACCTCGAGCTAGGCCTCGAAGGCTCCCTCATCTACCACGGCGCAACCTCCATCTTCCGTGTCGACCTCCCTTCCACCTCCAAAGACCCAAGGGATCCTGACAACACTACCGCCGCTCTCCTCCGAGGAGGCGGCATCGAAGCAAACTTCGAATCTGTAATGCAACACTTTGGCATCGACGGCCCATCCTCTCCCGCCGTTCTGCAGTCCCTAACCCAGTTCTTCCGCTGGCAATATCCGCACTTCATGTTCATCTACCGCGAGGCCTTTCTCCGTGACCATTTCAGCAATGACGACGGTGAGGGTGATGCCAACAATGGTAGGAATAACAGAAAATACTGGTCCCCCGCCCTGCTCCTATCTATATGCGCCCTCGGCGCGCTGGTCAGCTTAGATACAAAAGCCTCGAGTGAGCGATTTTTCCTCGCGGCGGAGAGCATCATCATGGTGACCGGGCTCACGAGGCCGAGCGTCGCTACCGTCCAGGCGTTCCTATGTCTTGCGCTTTACGAGATTGGGAGGGGTAATTTGTCCAAGGGTTGGGGGTACTCTGGTGAGTACGCTACCCCGCGAGAGTCTCTCGAAATGCTTCGCTCGCGACAGGAGACTGACTAGACGTCTCACCAAGGAATCGCCTTCCGCATGGCCCAAGATCTCGGCCTCCAACGAGACCCCAAAGGCTGGGTCCAGCACGACTCATCCCTCGCGACACACGAAGACGTCGAGATACGGAGGAGAATCTACTGGGGCTGCTACATCTCCGACAAGCTCATCAGTCTGATCCTCGGCCGGCCCGTGTACTTAGTCTACGATGACGCCGAGGTCCAGCCCATGGAAACGCTGCCGTTTGTGACGCCCTCTCCTTCACCCTCGTCTCCGCCTCCAGTCCTCGTACAAAAGATGTAGTCTGTTAATGTCGATCCCAGAGAACCCCCCGAAATGAGTCTCTGGCGCCCCGTAGGCTTCGACGAAGAATACAGAGAATCCGCGCAAGCGAGCTCCATGATCCCGTACCTCCACGAACAGATCCGCCTGTCGCGCATCATCGAGAGAATGATGTCGACGCTCTTCTCTCCGCGCTCCAATCTAGACGACCTCGGCCGACGAGTCTGCTTCGATAATCTAAACCTAGACCTCAACCGGTGGCGCGAATCGCTGCCCGATTTTGCAAAATGGCAAAAATGGGGTGGATCGTCATCGAAGACAATACCAGGAGTATTGG